TTTTACATATTACATAAATGGTATAGTGAAATTACAGTTTCAGGATCGCATGCAATATTTAGGGAAAATGTATCAGACCCAGGGGCGGACTGACAACTCATGGGGCCCCCGGGCAATAGGGGATCATGGAGCCCCTGTGTCCTTGCCCAAACTCAAAAAAGCCTATGAAAAAGGTACCAGGGGCATCTCATGGGGCCCCCTACTGACCCCGGGCCATCGGGCAGTGCCCGAGTTTCCAAATGGTCAGTCCGCCCCTAAGCAAACCTCCTAAATAACGCATGCAATCTGCTTTTGTGAATGGAGCCCATTAATTTAAATATTTTTTTTAGGCATGCTGCGTGAATGGCAACACCTAAAAAACTTATAGTGGGGTTTTGACTTGTAGTGACAAATTTACTCCAAAAGTGGAAATACGCTTTAAGGATAAATTGCAACCTGTTCTACAGGATTTTACTGTGATAAAACAATCATCCAATGCTTGCTAACTAAAAATGGATGATTTATAAAACATCTACTGAACAACAGCCCACTGAAGGGGCTGAAAATTATGATGTCACTGTCTTTAATAAAAAATGGTTGCTAGAGATGTTTAGTCAAAATGCATTCTCTTCAACACAGGGTGCCCATTAGTGCCCTGCCACCAGATGCACTACCCTATCCTTTTCTTTTTCAGCTTGTTAAATTACCATGACAGGGACAAGGCTTGCCTGAAAGCACACATTTCTAACACACAAACTGCCTTCCTCTAGTTGCTGTTATTCTTTACAGCAGAGGAGACATTCCTTAAATATACCTTGAAATTTAACGTAAACCAAATATCATGCACATTTCGAGTCCTGTACCCCTCCGAACAAAATGGATGTTTAATCATAGTGAAGGAAAATTGTTTTAACAGTATTGCCTGTTTTAATAAAGTTTGCCATGTGTTTTTTTAACTGAAAGCTGAGGTTCTATTTATTTTTTATGCCTGAACCTTGCTACTGCTGTTGAATAGCAAAGGGGTACTCTCTTGAGCCAGTTATATTGATCAGTCCATTGTAGCAGCATTTAGACTTTTCATAATTTAAAGGTCCAGCAAAAAAGGTAAGATTAGTCCACTGAGATGTTCTTGTTGCACTTTGTGAGAATGGAGTGGGTTGAATCACTGTCATCCATTTATTTATTTTATTTTTTTGTGATGATCCATATGGGGCATTGCAGCACTATCATCTGGCTGTTTTGCACTTTCTTTATTATTATTTCTGAATGAAAGACTTGTATGGGATTTTTCAGCACTGAAAATTATGTTACACGTAGTACCATTTATGTCAGGACATGATGTGTTCATTAATTAGGAAATGTATGAATTTTCAACATTTGATCTGTGGTCTCACTTTCCACACTTTTTTCAAAGAATTTTAATTGTGTATCTATATTTATGTCTCATGTAGTTGTTGGTATATTATTAATTATGCACTTTATGTGAATAGACAGGGTTATATTTTAGGTTTAAATTTAAAAAAATAATAATAATTATACATATTATTAAAAAATAATAATTGAACATATTTTTTCAGGAAAAAAATGTGCATTAATAGTTTTTTTTTTACAGAAGCCTGCAAAGCATTGCACCCATGTACAATGGATTGCAGGTACAATGCCAGGCTTCTGCAGTTTCCTCTTCTTCAAACTACCTGCTCGTATCAAGGTACATGCTTTCAGTTGGAGAGCTGGAGAAAGTGTCAAGGGATTAGAAGTGTGGTGATTACTGCACTTGTATTCCACTGAGATCTACAAATCCATCTGCTGCAGTGGAAGAATGGAATTGTAGTTCATTTATTCCCAGATCTCTGCAAATTAATTACGCAGCTGTGTAGACAGATAGCTGCTGCAGGGGAGAATCCCCACATGTCAAACAACAAAAAAGAAAAATTTCCAAGCTCTAACTTACCAGCCAGCCTGCAAACAAACCAAATTAACCTGTCTAATAGTATGTGTTAAAAACAGGGGTTTAGTTAGCACACATTTGCAAATACATGCGTAAGCTACAGAGCCTCGTCACAGCACCCCAGTGTTCTGTAGTTCCTAACTCTCCAATTTTAAGAGCTCCCATAGTAGAGGTACATGTATTTAATGGATAGACCAAGGGCAGATGGACCTGAGGGAGCCCACCCCTCCTTAAAGGTACAAGAGTAACTGAATAACCTGTCTAAATGTATCCGTTAATCTGGGATAGTGGCCATTTTGTGTACTGTTGAATTGTTAGTCAAGGGGTGCACTGGACACCTTAACTGCCATTGTGCTACATGCTGGGTGTCCAGTGTGCTCCTGTACCTTTAAGGAGGGGTGGGCTCCCTCAGATCTATCTGCCCTTGGTCTATCCATTAAATACATATGCCTTTACTATGGGGGCTCTTAAAATTGGAGAGTTAGGAACTACAGAATATTGGGGTGCCGTGACGAGGTTCTGTAGCTTACGCATGTGTTTTCAAATGTATGCTAACTAAACCACTGTTTTTAATGCATACTGTTAGACAGGTTAATTCGGTTTGTTTGCAGGCTGGCTGGCAAGTTAGAGCTCGGAATTTTTCTATTTTGTTGTTTGACATGCATTCCCCTTCCATGTGCTCCTTGCAGTGAAGGCCAGTTATAGACTGGGGCAGTGAGAATCCCCACATGCTGCAATGGGAGGTGTCCTGGAGGTATTTAACAACATTGTTATAAGTTACATACTAAATATGGGTGTGACATGTAACATGATGCAAAAAAGGTGGAGTTAACCTTTAAGCGGGGCACAAATTGGATTTGCAAAAAGTACCATAATGCATTTTTCTGCATTATTCCAGTCTTCCATTTTCACTTGTTGCAGACATTTTCTCATCACAGCTTATTTTCCTGCTTTGGAGACACATGAGGAATGCACTATTATTACTGGGACTGCACTTTCTCACAAACCCACTCCCCCATTCAACTCTGATGAATTTGGTACTATTCTGAGTGTTAATTCTATCTGGGTTTCAGAGTTTCATTTTGTTCTGCCACCAACTAGCACTCTTCCCTCCATTTATTACCCTAGCCCTCCCGTTATCCTATATAAATCTCTCAACAGTTTTTTACATACCTGGCTCACACAGCATAACTTACAGTGGGTTTTAATGTACTTACTTGAATGGAAATCTATACCCTTAACACACAAGAACTAGATGACATTCTCTGTTGTCATTTTTTCATATATACAGTGTAATCCAGTTCGATTTCTATCATGGAATATATGGGTTTTTAAAGTCAAATGCTCCTGAATATTTTTACACTCAACAGACCACAAAGCCTCTCTAGTTTGCTTGTCAGAAATACATGCCAGTAAAGATACCCTTCAGTACTTTCAGAAAAGGTGGTGGGTGGGAGGGTCATACCACTCCAAACAAATAATATGTAGCACTCCAAACAACTAGCTTTTAAAATTTCATGTATTTGTTAAAGGAAACATCATATAAAGACATAACAATACATTGTAGTACATGCACAAAATCTCCCCATAGTCCTTCTAGCTATACAAAAGCACACTATGAGCTACAAGCACCATATACATTTTATTTAAACTATGAGGAGGTCCATGCAAAAAGTACAGCAATTAAAAAATATCCATACACATGGATTCCAGAAGGAATCTTCAGCTGGCATGTGGACACTCAATGTCCTGGTCTGCATTTGACTTTTTGTAGTTGTTTAAAATACCCCTGAATCTCTTCCTTTGGGTTAATTTTCTTATTACATATCAGGTGATAAGCTTTTCATTGCTGTTTTTGTTAAGATTTATGATGATAGATGAGCTCTATGGGTTTGAGATGGTGTACACCCACTCCAAGAAAACTAGTTTATGTTTGATTATTTTTTGTTTTATCCTCTTCTGTTTTATTATCATTGTTTAGTTTTGGGAATTAATTTTCAGCTTCTGTCTGTTGTTGTATGTTGTCTGGGATCACATACCACCGTTTGGACCATGTCCCCACTGGTTTTGTGAGCTTCTGGTGGTCAGACTATTTTTTTCTAAGATGTATACATTTTGCTTATTTGTTTCTGTCCCCTAGATGGCGCTTTGTTCAATGTAGGCCTTTTTCAGTTGAATTTTCTTCTGAGCATGCGCCCCACTGCCCTTCTTCACATCCCCTGTTATAGCCACTGATTATTTTAGTGGTTGGCAGTGGTGGGCTGGACAATTTGGGGCGGGCCCTTGGGAGGCACAGGGACTATAAGGATGAGTCTCTAGCTAGCATACTCTCTCTTCCATCTGTGATAGCACATGCATTGGAATTATAGTGGTCTCTCAACGGTTATTATACTTCGGTACTGACAAGTATCTTAACCACTTGCCTACCAGGCACTTATACCCCCTTATTTACCAGGCCAATTTTCAGCTTTCAGCGCTGCCGCACTTTGATTGACAATTGCGCGGTCATGCAACATTGTACCCATATGAAATTTTGATCATTTTTTTCTCACAAATAGAGCTTTTTTTTGGTGGTATTTAATCGCCACTGGGCACTTTACTTTTTGCGCTATAAACAAAAAAAGTGCAAAAATTTTGAAAAAAAAAAAAAAGTTTCTTTGTTTCTATTATAAAATTTTTCAAACAGGTAATTTTTCTCCTTCACTGATGTGCGTTGATGAGGCAGCACTGATGGGCACTGATAGGCGGCACTGTGGGCACTGATAGGCAGCACTAAAGGGCACTGATAGGCAGTACTAATGAGGTGGCACGGATAGGCGGCACTGATAGGCAGCACTAATGAGGTGTCACGGATAGGCGGCACTAATATGCAGCACTGATAGGCGGCATTGATAGGTGACACTGATGATGGGTACTGATAGACGGCACTGACTGGCATCACTGCTGGGCACTGACTGGCGACACTGACTGGCACAACCGCTGGGCACTGACTGGTGGCACTGACTGGCAGCACTGGTGGGCTGCACTGGTGGGCTGCACTGGTGGGTGGCACTGGTGGGCAGCACTGGTGGGTGGGCACAGGTGGGTGGCACTGGTGGGCACAGGTGGGTGTGCACAGGTGGGTGGCACTGCTGGCACAGGTAGGTGGCACTTCTGGGCACAGGTGTGTGACACTGCAGAGTGGCACAGGTGGGTGCATTGCTGGGCACAGGTGGGTGCACTGCTCGGCACAGGTGGGTCCACTGCTGGGCACAGGTGGGTGATCTGCTGGGCACAGGTGGGTGGAGCTAGTGGGCGCACTGCTGGGCACAGGTGGGCGGAACTTGTGGGTGGCACTGCTGGGCACCGATCATCAGGGCACTGATCATCAGTGCCCTGATGATCGGTGCCGATCCTCGCTCTGACAAGTGCCGGTTCTCGGCAGTACTTTCCTCACGATCTGACAGCGTGAGGAAAGTGCAGCCGAGAACCGGCAATTGAATTTCGCTGTGATCAGCGTGTCATTGGACACGGTTGATCACGTGGTAAAAGGCCGCTGTGATTGGCCTTTTACCACATCACGTGATCAGCTGTGTCCGTAGGACACAGCGATCACGGAGATTGCCAGGTGCGCGCCCCCTGGGGCGCGCAGGAGAGCGCGTTCTGGGAGGACATCATATGACGTCCACCCAGAACTGGCCGGCCGCAGTGCAGCCGTCATTCGGCTATCTGCGGTCGGCAACTAGTTAAACTGATATATTGTCTTGGATTCTTTGTTGAATATTACTCTGTAGTAATGACTGCTCCATTTTTTTGTGTTCTGTGTTATCTTTTTTAGAGAGGCTATTCTAAATCATGCATCTATTCCATATTTGGATTGAGGCTTGCCTCCCTGTTGTGCTAATTTACTGGAGATATACATGCATTTTTGCATCCTGAGCAGAGACGTGGTTGTTTGATGTAACACATTTGTATGCTCCTGATTTCTCTTTTTTGGGTTTTTTTTTGAGTCTTAGTCATGCTACTAAATATGTGTAAGTGTCAGGGATCAGTGTCCCTGCAGCAGCGCATGTGCAGGACACCGATGAGTCCTAACCAGCGAGCAGCGGGACCTGGGTGATCGCGATGGCTGCGCATGCGCACTTGCGATCGCGGACGCACGCCTGGCACCAATGACAGCGCAGGGTGGGCTACTTAAACACGACTAGAGGTATGTCAAATGGCCGTTTGGTCTTTTGTGCTCTGTTCCTGATACCTGATCCTGTGTTACTCTCCGTTGCCGACCTCTGCATTGTACCTGACCCTGCTGATTGTATCCTGCTTAACCCTTGGCTTGCCTGACCATCCTTCTGCCTGACCCTCTGTACCGCGCTGTCCGCTAGTTACTGAACCCGGCTTGTGACCCCGACCATTCTCTGCCTTCTCCTCCGTTACCTCGCTGCCCGCACGTTGCTGACCTGGCCTGCCCGACTACGCTTCCAGCCACCCAGATGATGCATCCATCCATCCCGCAGGGATCGTTCCTGGTTACCAGGTCTGCCAGCCTCTTCACATCAGACTCCTTACCCCGCACTCCTCTGATGGTGCTCCCTACCATTGTCGGACGTACTCAGGGGTCACGACCTGGTCTCATTAACCTTACCTAATTTAGGCTACTTGCACTCAGTATGATTCACAAACCCACATAAAGTATATATATCATTAAAACAAAATTGTGCAGAACTCCGTATGATATATATAAATAATTACTGAAATTATATCCAACATGTGTGTAAAAATAAATGTACATAAAGCAGACAATCACATATAATTTTTAAATAAATACATTTCTCCAACAGTCCATTGTCAGCCCTTCAAAACCAAATAGTGATCTTTGCAAAAAAAAGTTTTTATATACAACTGTGAATCTGTGACACAAACAAATCTACTCTTAAAATTGTGATGAAACGTATTAAAATGTGACTCCCACACACCATGCACATGGACATAAGCTCACCTTCATTTAAAAACCTCCAGAACATTAGAGGTCATAAACAGCATATGGCAACAGAAGAAGTGCAAGTGGTCCATTGAGTGAGTCTCATTTTTTAATTTCTACATTTTTTAAAAGTTTTTTTTTAGCTTTTTTTTGTCTGACTATAGATCTATGTTTGTCCCAAGCATATCTAAATGAACTTACTGTTGATCAACTACTCTTTCAATAAAATAATACTTTCTAAGATTAGTTTGCAACTTTGCCAGCTCGAGGTCATCTCCCTGTATTCCTGATCTTAGGTTAATATTGAAAATACTGCCCTCCTGAAACTTTAAAGGTATCAATCATGTCTCCCCTTAACCACTTGCTCTCCAGAGGATTTATCCCCCCATTCCTGACAGGCCATTTTTTGTGATAAGGCGCTACGTTACTTTAACTAACAACTGAACGGTCATGCAATTCTGTACATAAATTAAATTTATGTCCTTTTTTATCCATAAAGAGCTTGCGTTTGGTGGTATTTGATCACCTGTGTGGTTTTTTTATTTTTTACGCTATAAACAAAAAAAAAAAAACACAATTTTGAAAAAAAAAATATTTTTGACATTTTGCTATAAAACATATCCAGTAAAAAATAAAAAAAAATAAAATGTCATCATAAATTTAGGCCAACATGTATTCTGCTACATGTATTTGCTAAAAAAAATCCCAATACACGTAAATTTATTATTATTATTATACAGGATTTATATAGCGACAACAGTTTGCTCAGTGCTTTACAATATAACGGGAGACAATACAGCAACAGTACAGTTCAATACAGGAGGGATAGGAGGGCCCTGCTTACAATCTAGGATTGGTTTATGTGAAAGTTATAGTGTCTACAAATGGTGGTATATTTACTGGAATTTTTAGTTTTAATTTTTGTATACTAGTATTGGCAGCGATCAACGACTTATATGGGACTGCGCGTCTGCGGCAAGCATTCTGACACTGGGTGGGAACTAACTGCCATTGACATCCCAATAACACTAATACAGTGATCAGTGCTAATAAAAAGCACTGACACTGTACTAATGACATTGGCAGGAAGGGGTTAACATCTGGGGAGATCAAAGGGTTAATCGTGTACTATTTTACATGATGTCCTGTGTGTGTTTTACTAGGGAAACATGCTGATGTATACTTCTCTGTTGTGCAGAGAAATACACAGCAGCATGTCCTTGCTGGCAGAAGAGAGACATGTGTTGTTTACACACAGGTCTCTCCCCTGTCAGTGTTACTCGGCGGTGAACCTCCATCCGGGACCTGATGATTGACATATGTAGCTGCCAATGGCGGTGAGGGTAGGGCAGTTGACACGTGCCCCCTAGCCGGAAATGCAAATCACGTATATATACACACGTGATTTTGCACAGCCCTGCCGCCCTGTAGCAGTAGTTCTACTATAGGGCAGCAGAGAAGCGGATAAAGTATACGTAAACCCTCTTCTTCTAAACAACCAATTCAGTTTAAAATAGAAATGAAAAGCAAAACATTTGTGTATAGATGTAAAAAATATATTAACACTTTTTTTTCTTTTGTATATGTGATCACATTCCCTCTCTTCTCAGCTGCATATGAGCTAAGGGAGGAGAAACAGCAGGACATTGAATTTCCCAGTGAAAGGATGTGCAGGGAGTGTGTGTCAGGACAAATCTGATCATTGCATGAGAGCACACTGAGTTCCCAGCACATCTAGAGAACGGACTACACTGGGTTCCCATGCCAAGTCCAGTCAATTTTTAATAGGAAAGCAAAGAGACTGGCAGGAACACCAGAGATTTCACACAAAGGAAGCAATACAAAGAGAACATAAAACATTTTTTCATTCAAGTATATGGTACAACAGGCACATATCAGGAATATGAAATGTTGGGTTTACATACTCATTAATGGATATTGTTTTTGCACACAAATCATGCTACAAAGGCCACAGCATACAGCCCTTATCCTCAATCATGTTACAGATCATTAGACCAGTCACTGTACAATTTGCCACATCCCTTCCTATTCAGTTGCAGTATACTGTACCTACAGTTCATTATAGAAAGATTCCAAACAAAGTCAAAAATGCAGAGACACTGAGTTGAGGAGGGAATTTACTGCAAATAAAAACATTTGAAGTGGTTCTTCAGTTAAATTAAAAAAAAGACTAGATTATACAAGTTTTGGTTTCTACAAGAAGTTACGCATTCTCAGAGTTATATTACATGATAAAGCAGCTGCCCCTACCTCTTGTTAGCCACTATTGTTTGACTTTCTTTTATTTTGCAAAAAGAAACAAATGACAGCAGGCTTTTTTGGAAACAATATGGTGGCACTTGGGAAAACATTTCAATAGAAAAAGTTTTCTTACAGTACAGTAGCATGTTAATAAAAGAGGAGAACAAAACACTACCTTCATATGTATTATGTAACCTTAATTAAAATATTGTAGTAAATTCTATGTTATTTGGTCACGTAGATCATCTTGTATACTTTTATATTTGTTAATTTTGCCTCATCTTTTGGGCTTTTGCTTTTTACTTCTTGACGTTAGGTGTTGAGTGCATTCTTTTTATTCACCACTGCTGTTCAATGCCTTCTGAGGCTTCACAGTACATCTATAATTCTGTCCGTCAGTTGTTTAGGATGATACCCTCTGGCATAGTTTTACTTGTGTATAATTCTTTTCCACATTGTCGGATCCCTTGATTTTAATTTAATTGAATCACTATTTTTTTTAATGCTGTCCACAATAAATAAATAATCACAAGTAACAGCATGAAGCTTTTGTTCCACTGGTTGCATTTTTAGCATATAGTAACTTCACTTATAAATGGATTTAAATCTAATATTATTAATTTAATCTTACCTCTTTTTTACAGTGTAATTATTAAAAATAAGGCAATAAAAAAAATTGATATGATATAACAATAAATATATTTTTCAGTCTCAATTTACACTAGAGAAAAACAATGGGATATGGGAAATACAAGCTTTTGTTCTCAATAAAGAAACACAATATTCAACATGTTAATAATAAAGGAACACAAACAAATGAAGAGAAGAAAATGATTTTATACATGATATATCTGATGTTATAAGTATGTGGGTTCTTCAATGGCAATGAGTCAGGATCCTAATTTCTCACCAGTGAAAACCAGTGCACATGATCACTGATCAAGCAAAATCTTGAGAACTCATACATCTTTTTGTGTATGCATGTTTACACAAATGTGGCCAGGCACATTTGCATATGTAAGTAAAATTTTATATTCATACACACATGACAGGGTTAAAATTTAAAAGCAGAAAACATATTTGATCAATGGTTCTTAAGATAAATTACAATATATTTGTAAACAAATGGTGTATATGCAGGTACATGTTAGTACAAATTAACTAACCTTGCTCTTACTAATATATACCACATTGTAAATATTTACTTTTACCAAGGAGTGTGAGATTGGCTGATTGCTAAGCTCTGCCTCTTAGCAGGGGGCA